ATAAAAAAAATTTCTTTTTTCTGAAAAGTTTGTTAGTCTGGAAAACCAGTTTCTAGACAACCAGTATATGTAGTCATGTGCGGAATTAGCATTGCTGATTATCTACAACTCACTAGCTCTTGATGAGACAGCAATTAATCAATTGAGATCGTTTCATTGTAAATAGAGATATGCAGAGTTAACTCTTTTTTTTTTTATCGTTCCAGTTTCCATCTAGTCTCGACTCAGAGAAATCTATTTAAGAATTTATTCAAATTAAATCTAAAACAAAGAATCTTAAAGATTCGTGATTTATTTAATTCAGGCAATAAATATTACTTTTTCTGATAATCTCGGATGAATTTTTGCTATAATTCATGTGTTTTACAAAATAATTCGCTAGAAAATCATTGAAAATTCAAGAATAACTTTTAGTAACAATTCGAACAACTTTTGTTTCGTAGTTACGATCTCGGTACTGGTTACTAAGATCGAAACTAAAACTAATTCCATATATTTCTACTCGCAAGACATTTTGGATTAAGATTGAGACAATTCTATCGTTTTTTATTATAATGTGAATCATGATCTAAAAGGAATGTTAAAGTATATTGAATAGATATATGTACCCACCCTCTCGAGTTTTTCCACAGATAATGACAGACATTATCATGGAAATATAACAGACAGGATCAACAGATCCTAACAGATATGTTAAAAAGAAGGCATCACAGACTAAGTCAATATCTTAGTCGAATCACGTCACAAATGTGACAGACATCTTATCACTGCTCCTTTTCTGTATAAAAGATCGCGACAGATGTTGTTGATATATCATCAAAGACTGTATAATAATAATGTCTCGTTATAATAAATGAACTCATTCTTCTTTATTGTATTTCTCAACGATTAAGTAAAAGGATGATAAAGAACTGTTTTCTATGATAAATCGAATAAAATAATAATCTCCATTTTATTAACAACAACTATATAGTGTTTCACCACATTTTAATTCTACAAGAATTTAACTAACAACGATTTAATAGAATTAAAATTTTTCTGTTAAATTAAATAATCGTTAAACAATTTTACTTATTAAAGTTGTTGGTGTAATTATTTGAATAATTTTTTAGAGATTTATCTGCATAATACTTTCTTTGACTTTCTTCTTTTTATAAAATATATAAAAAAAGAACGTTCACATAATAAAAAACTTTTTATATTGATCATATTTTCATGAAATTAAATTTAAATATAAACTTTATTCAATGTTTCCTAAAGTGATGATAAATGTTCATTAATAGAGTGACAAATGTAATTTTTTTTTCTTCTTGTATACAAGAATTCGTCGGATAATTGTTTATTATTGATGATCTTTTATCATTATATTCGTGTTTTTTGTTTCTTATTCGATGACATAGTTTTCTGTCTGTCAATGATATATTGTATGTTAACATGAAGAATTGAAAAACAATAAATGCCTAAAAGTAATTTGTTTGTTATGCATCATCAGTTATTGTGCTAAAAAAATACAATTATAATTTATAGTAAATTTATTTTATTTCAATAGAATTTATAGAATAATTAAGTTTAGTTTTTTATTTTTTGTATAGGTCAAAATATTGATGTGTAGATGTTTAGTTATCTATATATCGAAAAAGGATAATCAAGTTCTTATTGCATTATCTCATTAATTCACTTAAGATAACGGTCATAGAAACGACTAGGCATTCGAACTTAATATATTTAATATTATTGAATTAGTCTATCTCAATAGACAAAAGCCTGATCAACATGCTTATTCAAAATAATATGTAGAAGCAAATTTGTTTTTAATATTTTAGTTTGAGTACAAAAACCAGAGTCTGTTGCGTGCCTGTTTTTTGTTAGCGATGTTGATGGACATAGACCAAAATAATCAACATAAAGTTAATTAATCACAAGCTTCTTTTAGTATATAATCAGTATGCCAATTTCTTCTCCACATGTCGTGACCAGATCGACAAAAAAGATAATCTTGCCGATAGAATCAATCCTCATTGGAATATCAAGCAGATTTATCTATCTTGGTGTGAAACAAAAAATGAATGTCTCAGGAGACAAAAAGATTTCTTCTTTAATTTTGAATGAGCTAAGAAAAATTAGTTTTTTTTTTCTTTTATATAAAAAAAAACTTTTTAAACGAAATAAAAATATTTTTAAATCCATGACGAAAGTTTTTGTTTAATAAAGCATAAAGTACAGGATTAATTGATGAATTTGAATAACCTAACCAAAAGAAAAATTCAATTGCACGAAAACTTAAACAATGACAAACAGCTCGAATAATATATAAAATAAAGAATGGTAACCAACAACATACAAAACAACCCATAATAATAGCTAATGAACGTGTTATATAGGCTTCAGCTGTTAATTCTCGACGTCCTATTTGTTGTTGATCCGATGAAGATAATTCATCACGAGTTAAATTATTTTCTGATGATTGAGATAATAATGGATTTTCAAGATAAATTTGACGATTAGATTTATCAATATTTAATTTTAAGTTGCTGCTTGTCTGAAAACGAATAGCTGATTGTTGTTTAATAATATATAAAACTTTTGCATATAAAAATATCATTATTATTAATGGAATAAAAAATGAAAGTAAAGAACTTGTTATAACAAAATTTGAATCTTTATATAATTCGCATTGTTGAGTTAATTCATTATATTTTGTTGATGTTGATATTGTTTTATTTTTTATTGAAGAATATATTGAAGTTGTTTTTTCAAAAAATAATGTTGGTAAAAGACATATAGCTAATGACATAAACCATGCAATACAAATATTAGTTAATGCTAAAGAAATTGAATGACGATGACGACGATAATGTAATGGATAATTTGTTGCTATATATCGATCAAATGCAATCATTAAAAGACCCTAAATATATATTTTAAAATGTAAAAACAAAACAAAAAGACAAAGAATTATTTTAATCAATTAAATTTACCCAAATAGATGCTGTTGAACATAAAACATCAATAACTAACCATATTTCACAAAGAATTTTTCCAAAATACCATATTCGAAATGTTGAATATGATGCTGAAAATGGTAAAACAGCAATACCCAATAAAAGATCACTAATAGCTAAATTAATAATTAAATAATTTGACATTCCACCTTGTCGAATTTGTTTATCAATAATAAATGCAACTATAACTAATATATTTCCAAATATAGTCCAAATTGTTATTGTAAAAAGTATTATTCCAATTAATAATGAAGATAACATTGATGATGAATCGGAAAAGGAAATAAATTTTGTATCATTTGTTACAAACATCAATAAATTGTTGATAGACGAGAAAAAAAAAACACAATCTTTATGAATAACTTTTATTGCTCTTCTTGTCGTTATCGTTGTCGATTGAATAAAGAAAAATAGATAGAAGAACTAGAAAAATAGTCATGTTTTACAAGTGTTGTTAAGTTAACTAAAGAAGAAGAAGAAAAAGAAAAAGAAGAAGAAAAAGATACTTCAATCTTCACATGAGAAGAAAACTTGTTTTGTTTTATTTTGTTTACATTCTATAATTTCTTTTTTTATTTATAAATAATATTATATTTCATTCTCCATTGTTTATTTGTATAAATAGTCTATAGAAATAAATGATTATTATATCATTTATTCAATATTATAAAATAGAAAAAAATCAAATGCTTACTAATTTGTTTCTTTATTGATAGAAAAATTTTTCTTAATATATCAACATTTTTCAAAGTTTTGATCAACTCTATTAAGTTATTATCATTTACAATAACACTAGAATGCGTTATAATGGCTGCTTTCATCGCTAATATTCCGCACTAGATTATTGACACTTCTTTTCTCATCTATTCAGTCGGATGTTTTTTTTACTAATGTTTTTCTTTTGTTTTTGTTTTTGTCTCTATGGATATTCAAAAATTACCTTAACAGTTTTGATATCTTCCCAACAAAAAACGATCTTTTCAGCAATGCTACAATTGACACAGTATATCAAGGATTATCTTCAATTGATCGTTTATTTCTGATTTCAATTGTTTTTTGCTTATAGATACTATATAGTATTTCAATAAAATCCATTAAAGGATTATACTACCCATTTAGGTTTGACGAAGATATCGAGTTTTGTTCTAGAGATCTCAAATTTTTGGAAAATTCGCATTTTCAAATTTTGATCTAAAACTTTGCGCATATAGAAAATTCAACTAAATTAACTTCCATAAAAGAACTTATAAATCTTCAACAAAGTCTTTTCAAGATATACAACAGTCACAAAAATAAACTATCTATGAAATACAGTCTATATCTTGATAGTCTCATATCTCAAAGAGACTTTCTTCAAAACTTGTGAACTTTTTAAGGAAGTTAATCTAGTTGAGTCCTCTATATGCACAAAATTTCAGAAAATATGGAACTTCTAGCAAAAAAAAAATCTATATCTACGTCAAATTTCAATAGGAACATAAATCCTTCTAGGGTTTTTATGAGAACACTACCTATAGGTAAAAATTATTGAGGTTAAAAAGAGCAGCTGATGAGAATCTTTCATTAGTAGTAGAATTATTCAATAGATATCATATGGACACTATGTTAGCCTTAAGCAGCTTAAAAGACACCATCGTTTTTTTAGTTTATCTTTTTGACAATATATTAAATTCGTTACGACATATAATACAGTTCTTGATTAGCTCATAATTAACAGATAATATGTCGAGATCTCAAAAAGGTCGGCGCAACAACAGATGCATCAGGTTGAGTTTCTGATTAGATCTATTCATGAAAACNATTATTATTTTAGGAGTGATTTTATATCGAAATACATTTATGAAAAAATGACACTTCTTAATTTGAAAAACTCTAGGAGAAAAGAGAAAATCGATATTTAATTAAAACAGTTTAGAATGCGAACATGAGTATTAGATGCATAAAGATTAGGATGAAATTGCCATTTGTTAATATCAATCAATTGCTCTCTGATACAATTCAACCTATCATTTTGCAGTAGAATCTTTTCTGATCACAATCAATAAAAAATGTAATAGTATCATTTTCGATGATTTCAATGTTTTCTTGACATTCTTCATCCTCGCCACCGACATACATTTGATTTTGGTTTAACCATCCGTAACTTGACGACGAATCATATGAATCTAAATTCGTAGATTCTGATTTTGAGATGATTCCAAAAAAGATCCATCCACTTGAAGCTAATTGTTCGATGCGAAAAGAAAATTTATGTCGTCCAGTATTATATTCATTTTTTCCACGTATTTCTGTGTGACTAGATAAACCATCTTTGACAACAAGACACCCATTTTCTTGTATTTGAGCATTATCACAAGTACGCTCAAATAAATCAGATGTTGCCATATCCACCTAAAAAGTAGCATGGTTGATTAAACTTCAACAAAAGGTTTCTCAAACAAAAAAACAATTGAACTTATACATTTAGGATTTTTCTTGAGGCTTTCATAAGTTCTACATCCATCTAGGTCATTTGTTTTGAATAATAGTAAAATAAATTTGTCGTCAGTAGTCAAAAGCGATTATGTTTTTTTTGTGTCGAAAACAGGGATCTAATGATTTTCATACCTTTAACAGAGATGTCCATGGTGGCGTTGCCGCTGCCGCGATGGCAGTGGCGGCACAGTAACGGCAGTTTCTTTAAGCAACCATCGCGGCGCGGAAGATTTTGTAATAATGCAGCCACGCCATCGGCGCGCCGACGGCACTCTATTTCTGAACGACATTGCAAAACTGCATGAATTTGCACAAAAATTGAGTGTGCATAAATGTAACACTCTAAGACTCAATGAATCTCATCGATTAGTGGCAAACATTGTATATCAATACATTCACAGCGATGAAATGTGAGACTTTTTTTCGAGTACCATCGAGGTAGCGGCACATTTTTTGGAATTTCGTCGCGGCGTGGCAGCGGCAGATTTCGAGTCACGATGGCAATATCTGGCCTTTTGTCACATTTCGAACACTATTACATCATTTTACAAAATAGAAATAATATAAGTATTATTATCGAAGGTCGAACTACAGTTTAGTATTAGTGTATCAACTTCTCTTTTTTATCAAAGCTGTAATAACTATGGTTTCTGAGTGAGTTTAAAAAAGCCACTGAATTCTTCATTGTAGTATTTTAATAATAACTCTTCTCACAAATAAACTTGAAAAATAAACAAAATTTCAACATAGTGAAATTTGTTCTCTGAACTATAAATGTAAATAAAAATAATTTATTCGGAACGAGAAAACTTCGAGAAATGTAAGTTCTTTTAAATAAGAGTGCCATCATGATTTTCTTTTCTAGTAAAGTGATCAGTTTAATTAAAAGAAATGAAAACTTTAGTTAAACTAGAAATTTCAAATACTTTCCTTCAATTTAAGTTTTTACTCTTTCTCACATTAAGTTTCTAAATTATGATAATCTGAATATTTAAAAATAGATAAGTGTATTACCTGTAGACTGTTTTAAGTATCTTTATAGTTGATATTAATCTTTGTTACAAGTGGTGTAGAATCTTGTTAAATAGAAATATTCGATGGATTTTGAAGTTATTTTTTTAATTTTTCTAGTTTTTGTGTCCATTGTTGTATGTCGATCTCACTAAAATCATTTTCTTCCCGACCTTTCTTCATATCATTAGATATCAGGTGAAGATTCTTTTTCACATCATGTGGAAGTTGAGTAGCATATTTAAATAATTTATTTCTGACTTCTTCAGTCACTTGACGAATTTTGACAATAGATTCTTGTTCCAATTGATCAATTTTCTTTAATAATGTATGTTGTTTACGATTTTCTGTCCGTTGAATAATTGTTTGTTGAATAAGATCACGTGTCGCTTCAATTTCTTCCAATTGTTTACCAAGTTCATTTCTATGATCAATTGAATATTTTGGAGAGAAAATTCGTGAACATCCCCTTCACATCTGAATATTCCTTTGCTTCTATTACATACAAAACATAAAACTTTGTTTGATTCGATTGTTGATACCATACAAAGTATTGTGACGATACTTAGTCGAATAATAGAAGAATGAAGCAAAGAATAAAACTTGCAACATACACTTTTCTTGTGTCAACAACCAATCCAATAATAAATGGAAGCTGATGATTAAAATAATGTGTTGTTTTGAGTAAAATAGTTGACGTAAATCGTGAAGTAAAGAAAAAACAATTTTTAAAGGTTTCATCTTATAAGGGAAGAATCTGAATAATATTACATTAGCTTTGAAGAAATAAAATTTTCATATGAAAATTAATTTAAAACATGAATATTATCGACAAAAAAGTGTTTATATTTTGAAATTCAAATTAACATAAAAGGGCTTAGCATATCGTTCATTATAATATGACTAATGTCGGGAAAAATTTTTCGTTTGAAAAAAGAATAAGGAAACGAATGAGAATGAGAATGAACGAAATTCTTACCTAATAGTACGAAGTTACGATTAACATTGAATTTGAGTTTTTTTTCTCAAATCCATTTCGAGTTGCTCTTCCTTCATTAGTCTCATTATAGGGTTTCGTAGGAGTAGTAGATTATTTCATTTCTAGAAAAAACTGTTTCGCCACAAAAAGAAGGGTTTCCAAAATTTCACCAATAGGACATTTGTCAGTGGTAAAATTCTAGAAGGTGTGCGGCGAAAGCCCACTGTACTTTCGCCAGCTATTACAAAACAAATATTGATATAGAATACATATGAGAGTTGAAGCTAATGCTGTTAGAAAATATATATATATATCATAACTTACACTCAAAGTATATTCGAATATGAGGGGTTCATGTTTTGGTTTTAAAAAAAAAGCGATATTAATATGAAAAAAGGGCATTAAAAGCATAACCTAATGTTAATTTGCCAATGAATTTGATAAGTCGAGTTTGAAAAGATTATTCTTTTTCTTCTTTGCTTTTCTTGTACGAAAAACAATATCTTCAATATGGTGAGCAATAGACTTGATTGTATCAGCTAATGATCTTGTTTTAGACTCCAATAAGTACATCAATTTTTCAATTTGTTTAGTTTTACAAACTACTTTGCGTGTCGATTTTGTCGATCGAATAGAAGCAATACCTAATCCCATCTGAATCATTCGATGGAATATTAAACTTTCTTCTTGCTTTAAGTATTGAATGAATTTACACAAGTGTGAATGTGACTGATCAGTACGTGAAGAAAAATATTTATTTTACGTTGAAATAAAAATTAAGACATTGAAGATTTTGAGGATTAAATAATATTGTTTGACTCAATGGATATATTGCTTCAGCACCGATCCGAGCTTGTAATGCAGCAGCAAGAGTTGTGACAGATATTATTCTAAAAAAACATTTAGAACGATACATGAAATTTATGGTCAGGGCAGAGACGAACGAAACATCATAATGTAGACGAATGAAAACTTTTCATTGACGTTTAATAAACTTCCACATTGGAGAAATTCCAGAAGATGTGTTGATAAAAGTCCTGTTGGCGAAATTCTGTCAATCCTAGATAATGTTTGTATGAATCTAAATATGACAATAGATAATATGGAAATCGAAGAATTTTTCTTTGATTTTAAAATGACACAAGTTAATCTGAAAAACAAAATCCTATTATAATTATAATCAATAGATTGACGAAGAAACTCTTTTATATCTTCAAAGATATATGAAAGACAAAATTTTCATTTTCGTCAAATCGAATCATAAGCATATTTTATTTATAGAATCATTATATGATTTTATCTTTAGCTTCTACAAAAATAATCCTTTTCAAATACGGGTTTACTTATCTAAAATAAATAAAACATCAATCGATAGGGAAATCTGATTCTTTCACTAGTTAAAATACTTAAACGAGAATAACTAAACAGACATGTCTAAAAAACAATTGATATTTTTCGTAATACTTTTCTGCATAAAATCACATTCTTCTTCTTCTATAGTTAAAGTTTTTCTCGTAGACAACTGACGAAATGGATAAAATTGGTAATTAAATGAAATAACTCACTTAGCAGAAATGAGTTTTACATGATGTGGTTGTAAGAGATCAATACTATGTTGATGTTTAACATGAATTCTAATGATGAATGATAAAGAATTTTTTCTAGAATGAAAATAATTTTTCTAATGATGAATTTTGTTGGTTCATTCAGGTTTTTTTATCGATTCATCGAAACGTTTTTTGACAAAATTTTCTCAGTTATACACTTAACAGAATTCATTAGCGCTATTTTGTGACTTTTTCTCAAAATGATTGGTTTGGTTAAGATTTCCATTTTTAACTTTTTTTTTTTTTTCATGAATTTAAATGATCGATTTTTGTTCCGTTTGATTAATTCTATTAAGAAATAGATTTTGTTTGATCGCTCTATGAATGTTTAATAGATGAAATAAAAAATTAGTTCAAAAAATCTTTCTTTTTAATTAATTCATATTGATGAATTATTGAATGTTTTTTAAAAAATGTTAATCAAAATTTTCGACATCGAAAATTTTGCTTTAATTGCATTCATAGAAGACAATCTATTTTGAATGGTTGTTGTCGATGATGATGATGATGATGATGTCATTTGTAGGTTATTTTAATGATAATAAAGTAAATTAGATTGAATTTATATATCTGTTCAGTTATAAATAATGAAAAATAACGTTCTATCGTTATCGTATTTGTCTTTTCTATAAGATTAATTTTTCAAACAGTTTTAATGATTATCAATATTACTCATTCTTCGAATTATTTTTTAATCCAAAGATAGTTAAATGATTATTCATAGATTTTGTATTTGAAAAAAATTAACATATATGTGATTGTGTTCATATCAGTAAAATACAGAAAGAACAGACTTATTCATAGTAGTAGTTGACTAAAATAAAGAAAAAATCGATATACTGATCAACGACAGAAATTATCATTTAAGGGAAAAAAATAAAAAAATAGAACGATGTATTTTAAGTTTCATTATTTAAACTAATAATTATCTTGTATCATTTCATTTTAGAGTAATTCGTTGTGAGTAAAATGAAATGCAAAGACAGATCTCTTTTGAAATCATTCTATTTTTTATTTTAAATTTATTTCAGTAATAAGTTTTTCTTAGAATGAAAATCATCGGAAATTATTCTTTTTTGAATTTATTATTTCATTAAATAATTGTAAAGAAATAAAATAAGATAAGTCTTTCGAGATCAATGTCAAAAGTAACATCTCTTCTTTTTTTTTCACATGAATATAAAAAGGTTCTGTAGTAAATGATTATCTAACAATTCTATATGTGAATTTCATTTCTTTTGTAAAATATTTATTTACGAATCAAATATTTTTAATAACAATTGTTGAAATAATAAGATCTTAATGAGAGATAATTATTGAAATATTTTATTGTTTAAAGCATTATTAGAATAGATTGTTCTGAAAAAAAAATCTTTGATGAATTGTTCTAATATTCTAAAGTATAAATCACAGTTAAGAATTTTGATCATGTCAATAGAAAAAATTAGAAAACTTTTAGACAATGAAAAGTGTTCAAATTTCTATGAAAACGAAGATAATAGTATATTTTATTTAAAAAAACTTCGTTTTTTATTTGAGTAATATTTTTCATTAAAAAAATCATTCCTAAAATCATATACAAAGATTACAGTTGACAACTGGTTCCCTTTCGAAACATATTTGTGAAGGTAAACGAAAGTTGTCAATTCGCAAAACTTTAGAAGAAGAGACAAAAAATCGAGTTTTAATTCAACGAGTTTAGCATACGCACATGAATATTAGCTGTATAAAGATTAAGATGAAGTTGCCATGGAAATGGACAACTATTGATGTTAATCCACATTTGCATAATGAAGTTTGTTCGTTCATTTTTCAGCTCAATCTTTCGTTGATCACAGTCAATTGACAAAATAAGAGTGTCATTTTGAATAGCATCACTGCTTTGTTTATAGCTACATTGACCACCAGAAAATACTTGATTCTGACTGGCCCAGCCCCAACTCGATGGCGAGCTATACGAGCATGTCTGCATAGACTCTGATTTAGAGATTATCCCAAAAAAGATCCATCCATTTGAAGCTAATTCTTCAATTCGAAAAGAAAATTCGTGTCTTCCAATATTATATTCGTTTCTTCCACGTATTTCTGTGTGACCATCTAAAGTATCTTTGACAACAAGACATCCATTCTCTTTTATTTGACCATTACCACAAACACGTTCGAACACATCAGATGTATCTTCATTGCCGATACGAATATTCGTAACAAGTGGTGTCAAATCTTCTTGAATAATAACAGTTATTGGATTATCAAGTTTCTTTTTTAATTCTTCTAATTTTTGTGTCCATTCTTGTAGATCAGTCTCAATAAAGTCGTTGTCGTCATGAGCTTTTCGTAATTCATCAGATAAATTTTTCAGTTTTTGTTTTATATTATTTGTATGTTCAATAGTACTTTTAATTAATTTATTTCTAGCTTCTTCTGATGTTTGATGAATTTTATCAATTGATTCTTGTTCCCATTTATTAATTATATTTAATAGAGAATGTTGTTGAGGATCTTCGATTTGTTGAATAAGAGTTTGTTGTGTAAGATCATGTATTACAACAATTTCTTCTAATTGTTTACTCAATTCATTTCGATGATCATTTGAATGTTTCGGACAAAACATACGTGAACATCCTTCACATTTAAAACTTCCTTTTCCCTTATTGCACATAACACACAAGACTTTGGGTAATATTGTTGATGATGCCATCTAGAATGTTTTAAATAAAGGCAGAAAATAAGTAAAAGATATAGTTTTTAATCTACGCCGTTCTCTTGTGTCAACAAACAACACAATAATAAAGCACGTTGTCGATGAAAACTACGTGTTATTCTGAGTAAAGGAGTCGACGTAAATAGTAAAGGAAAGAAAGATATTTTTTATCGACGTCATAATTCAACGAAAAAATTGTATGAAATTATAATAGTTTAACAATAATCATATTAATATTTTATAAGATCATTAAGAAATATATAAACTTATTCAAAAGAAATTTACTAACATTCTACAACTAATCAAATATGTATAAGTCTTGAAATTAAAATACTAAAATTCATTTTTTTTTTATCCAATCTCTTCGAATAGCATTTTAGGATTATTCTATTAATAGTAAGATCAATATTAAAAATTAACAAAGACTAACAAAAAAAAATGACATTATCTATTTAGAGCATTTTTTTTTCAAGATTAGTAACATGTTTCAACAAATGCTAATGCTTACTCGAAATATATGTTCGAAATTAATCACGGGGATGTAGCTCATATGGTAGAGCGCTCGCTTAGCATGCGAGAGGTATTGGGATCGATGCCCAACTTCTCCACTTTTTTTTCTATTTTTATCCTTTCCATCATACAACATTAAAGACAATATCATAATCAACAACTTTTCATCAAAAATATGTTTTTTCTTGTCGTTCTTCGTTTTGTTTCTCAACTTTTTTTATTTTTTGTAAACATTGATTAAAGGCTTTATTAAAAGAAGATAAAATTTCAAAAAAAAATTTTCCACATTACTATTTATTTTTTCACCCACAATGATTATTATTTAAAAGTTCACGATTGGATGTATTTTTTTCAGTGAAATAATAAATAGTAATGTGGAAAATTTTTTTTTGAAATTTTATCTTCTTTTAATAAAGCCTTTAATCAATGTTTACAAAAAAATAAAAAAAGTTGAGAAACAAAACGAAGAACGACAAGAAAAAACATATTTTTGATGAAATGTTGTTGATTATGATATTGTCTTTAATGTGGTATGATGGAAAGGATAAAAATAGAAAAAAAAAGTGGAGAAGTTGGGCATCGATCCCAATACCTCTCGCATGCTAAGCGAGCGCTCTACCATATGAGCTACATCCCCGTGATTAATTTCGAACATATATTTCGAATAAACATTAATATTGATGAAAATATGTTAAGGAAAAAGATGATTTTGTTTTACTCTTCTTTGTAAATCTTTAATATTGAAGTGACTCTTGATTTGTGTATTTATGTGAAATAAATTCTTCTTGGATAGATTGTTATTGTTATTTCATGAAATTAAGTTGATTCTATTTTTTTTTCTGTTTTAAATATGATAGGATATTAAACGGATTGCATCTTCTCTCCAATGGATACGGGCGATAATGTAGTATTTTTTTTTAAGATTATCAATTATTTTTTGTTGAATTATTTTTCTTGTCTGTTAAATTTTATCAATAGAAAAAGAAAGGAAAAATCTAAAAACTAGATTCTTTTTTTTATTTACTGCTGAGATTGAATGAAATTTCTAAAGTTAATTTGAATGAAAATGTTGCCTCTCATCTTTCGTAATAACAGGATTTATTTCAAGAGACAAAGATTATGATTGATCAATAATTTGAAACAAAAAAATTTATTCATTGTAGAAGTTAACTATCAATTTTAATACCTGTCGAAATCGAAGTAAATACTCTATCACAAATTGATCCTCAAATATATCTTTTTTCTTTTATGTTTATATGAAATATTCGTTTAAAAAAAAACTGTTAACAGAATAGTTAATTCATCTGAATCTGGACTTTTCATTTCCATATATAAATGCTAAACTATTATAAAATAATTTGTATAATTTGTCGTAAAAATGTGACATATACTTTTTCTAGGGTGACTTTACACGTACAGGTCGTCGTGATATAAAAGGAGTTTTAGCTGATGGAAAAATCTCAGCAAATCGTTATTATCGTCGTTTTAAAAAGGATACTTTGCGACAACAATGTTATGATGCTATGCAAAAACAAAAAACATCAACCGTGGAAACAAATAAAGACGCGATAACAACAGTTAATCCTGATTTAGTTGACATTCCAATGGAAATTGTGAGATTTCTATTGAAATTTTCTTATATGAATATAAAATAAATTTCATTTTAGATAACAAATCGTGAAGAAGTTTTAAAACAAATGATACTTGATTGTCGTAAAATGTTTGTTTGTGAAGAAACTGAAGATTGTTTTGGTACTTGGCCTCTTATTGATGATAGTGAATTAAATGAGTAAAATTTTTATTTTTATTTTTTTTATTTTTTACTCTGTAAATATCCATGTAAAAGAAAATGGTAGAAAAATCAGACTAAAATTAATTTTCAGATAACAATCATAACAAATTGATTAATTATGTTATATTCAGGATTTAAATTGATTTTTTTTAGGTAATAATTAATTAAAGCCGATTTTTTGACAAAGAATCTATTATATCGATTAAAAACCTAATTTACTTTAATTTATTTCGAAAAAATCCATAAATCAATTATAATCGGAATTTAGCGAATTAATTAATGAAATCGTGTTTTTTTTTGAGTATGTTTTGATAATAAATGTTTTCTAATCGATCAATAATAGTGACGGAGCGAGAGGTAAACTGAAGATGGTTTAGTTTGATTCACAAATTTTTGAGTTTCCTCTTAAAATGAAATAAACCTATATCATATACGAAGAAAATACTTGCTTTTCAGTGTCAAACAGAAGATTGAGTCCGTCTCCTGCTACCACAAAGTTGTTTCAGCTCGTCGATTATCTATAAAAATTGATTTTCCTACAAAATATCTAAATAAAATAAAATTGATTAGTAGAAGATTAAATTGACTTGGAATATTTTCTTAAAAATGAAAAATCAGCTTTTCTATATATTTAAACGATGTTATTCAAATTAATTTTAATATAATTTATCACGAAAAATTTTCCCATGGACGTATTTCATTCAGTAATGAAGAAAACGTGCTTTTTATAAATCTTGAAGGTCGAAAATAAATGATTTTAATCGTGGATAATCAAATCTAATCTTATTATTGCGATATTACCGAACTAAAATATGTTTTTCGAAGTTAATCGATTTAAAATGATTCCTAATGTGATTGCCTCATCTCAATTTAAAATAATTTATGTATATATATAAGTTTTAATTTTACTATATTTGGATGACTTTACTTCATGAACAATTTTATAGTTTGTGAACATGATAAATTCAAATAATCATTGAAAATAAGGTAGTTTCCATTCGAATGTCAAGAAAATGACTTGTTTGCGATATGTATGTTTAAAATCGATTAAAAATAAATAATAGATTAAATTAGATTGACATTTAATAATAGAATAAAATTAATGAACAGGTAATAATGGATTAAAGTCGACTAATACGTAATAATAGGTTAAAATCGATGTGAAAAGATAATATTTATTAAGTTGAAACAAGTCGACGTAGAACTATCCATGTAAACAAGTCGAATTAACTCTGATTATGAGACATTTTTTGTGATTAAAAATCGAGTAAAATCGCTCTATTACAATCGAAATTTAACCAAACTAAATGATTATAATGAATTTTTAATGACAAAAGGCCGATAATAATCAAATATTATTTTTTTTGACTTTTTTTACATGGATAAATAAGAATTCTTTGTTGTTTTTTAGAGTACTAATTGAACAAACAGAACCTGATTGTGTTCTTGTTCTTACATCAACTCGATATTTTATTGTTTGGTAAAATTTTATTTTATTTTTATTTAAAATAAAATTTAAAAAATATTTAGTTATGATGAAACATTTCAAAAAGTTGTTTCATTTAAAGAAACTCCATTAACCGCTATAAATAATATTGAAGTTGGTTCGTTGAATTTTACTTTTTTAAACAAAAGAAAAAAAGGAAAAATTTTGTTTAATAAAAAAAAACTTTTTAGGTGAAAATCCTTTATCACCACCAGGTAGTTCATTGACACTTCGTATTCATTTTACAAAAGAAGAACAAACAGCTAGTTATTATCATCAATTTCGTGGTACGAATGTTCAAATTTTTAATACAACAGTTATGCTTCTTAAAGATATCGATCAAATCAATGGTAATTAATATCAAATGTTTCATTCTTATTTTTTCTTTCTTATCAATTTTTATTAAAATTATTTAGATTATATGAAAACAATTGGACAAATGATTGTATCAATTGTTAATTCTTTTGTACAAAAATCACTTGAACTTAGTGAAAAAAAATTAAATAGGTAAACATTTTTTTTCTAACAAAATTGAAAAATAAAAAAAAAAATCTAAACTATTATAGCAGTAATATGATTTTGTAAGTAAAAATTGATTTTATCGCTCGCTACTTTATCTTTGGTTTTTTTTTCCATTAAATAAATATATTTATATAATAAATGTTTTTCTTCTTTTTTCTTTTAATTCTATATAGAATGAACAGTTTACCAGACGATGTCGAACCATTTCAAAAACGAATGAGTTTTTCTGCAACAGATATGCCACCTCTTGCTACAATAAGTGGTGCTACAACATCAAATAATAAAGCTACAATTAATAAAATAAAAGATTTCGGTTCACGATTCTCATCGATGGTTACTCGACAAGCAGCACCTACAATTAACAAATTAACAACACAAGGTTTTTTGTTAACCTTTTTGTTTTTCTCTTTTCGAAAATAAAATTTCTTTTGTTTTCTTAGCAAAACAATTGCCAATAAATGAAAAAGTAACATCATTATTGAAAGTTATTGGAGAAAGTCCATCATTAATTCGATCTGGTGCAACAAAAATTGGAGGAGAAGATGGTCGTGCATCACCTACATCTGAAAATAATAGAAAAAAAATATTACAAGAAAAATTTGATGAAAGAAAAAAAGATTTGTTTTCTTTACAATGTCAAACAAAATGTTTTCTTTTATCTTCTCCCGATCTGAGTATCATTTACAT